CTCTGGATGTTGTAGATTTAATGCGAGCATATATGCAAAGCGAAGCAAATATTGTGATTAGGGCTGTCAAACGATTAATCGCAATTAATCGCATCCAAAATTAAAGTTTGTGTTTCCATAATATATGTGGGTGCACTGTGTACAATTATTTTATATATGACAATACACACACATGCTTGTATATATTTAAGAAATATTTTCATGTATACACTGTATATAGATTTATATATAGTTTATATTATATATAAATATTTTATATATAAATAAATTTTTTTTCTTAAATATACACACATGTGTGTTATTTATATACATATATATATATATATATATATATACAGTATATATATATATATATATATATATATACAAAATAATTATACACAGTGCACCCACATATATTATGTAAACACAAACTTTTATTTTGGATGTGATTAATCACGATTAATCGTTTGACAGCTCTAATTGTGATGTAACGTGTTAGAGGTAATTAGATATTTGGTCACTTGCTATCAGCATGTTACTATTGCGTCATTAATTCATCAAAAACCTTGCTGTTTTAAGCAATTACTCAAAGATAGTGCAAATGTTCAGAGTTAAATTGCCTGTCTGCTTGGTTGAAGACTGAAAATGTTTAGTTGTGTGACACTGTGCTACAACAGTGAGTGTGATACGTGAGCAGAACAGAGGGAATCTGCCACACTAAATGGGTACAGAGAGAACAACGTGATGATGATGATGATGATGATGATGTGAAGTCTTCCTGCAGAGCTTATTGATCATAGGGGTGTGACTGGAAGGCCGAGAGACGGGCCTGAGAAATCCGAGCTGGGCACTATAATTGAATCCCTATGGGGAAAGGCAAGAATATGATGGACAAAGCGTCCACCCTCTGATTGCATCCCTCTCTGCATCTCCTCTCAATCTGTTTAGAGTTTTGCTACTGGCTTTCCATGAAGATCTTGCTTAAGAGAATGTTGCATGGCCAAACACAAAGGGGCCATTTTTCCCTCCAACTTCAAACAAACTGGGATCAGATCAGAGGCACGTGAGATGGAAGCAGCAGGAATCAATTAGTGCACACGCTTTGATGATGTCATTGACAAGCAATCGGTGAACAGACCAGCTTCCGTTTGAGATGGCAGGAAACATGAGCCTCCACCGCAACCCTCCACATTTTTACGGAAACCATAGTTTATTATCCTGCGTGTGTCTACAAACTCAGGTCAGATCGCACAAAAGCCTCATTATGATTAACCAAAGTTTAACTAGCAAGATAGTTCCTGAGTCCTGACATAGTTGAACTGAAAAGCATGATTGACAAGCATGAAAACCGAAGACCGAGTCCATGCAGGAGGAGTGGAGATGTGTGGAGAAGCCAATTTCTACCTCTATTCCGTTACCATCCTGATCACTGTACTAAACACTAGGGCTGGGTATTGACACATATTTCACAATTCGATTCGATTTTCAATTCACAAGCTTGCAATTCGATTCGATTCCGATTTGAATAGATTTGATATTGATTATTTTGGATATCAGTTACAATATATGGCAAATTTTCTCGAGGAAATCAAATCTCTTAACTAATGCTGTAAACTATGGGAGTCTATTTGTAGCCTATAGACTTCATTAGCCTAATATGAAGGTAATAATGAAATGTTTTGTAGCTATACAAACACTTGAATTACACTTTTATTTATTTTTATAATATAAGATTATATGAAATATAAACATTTAAATGGTGGCTGTCATAAAAACTTGCCAGATTTATTCAAATATGCATTAAATATTGAAGAACATTAAGATTATAATGCATATGGTGTATAGATTTAGCAAAATTTTCCTCTCTAGAGTTATTTTTTCTAGCTGACTAACGAGTTTATGTGGGTTTTCTGAGGTAAATATGACGATATTGAGGTAAATATGACGATATTTACCTCAATATCGATATTTTCTGAGGTAAATATGACGATAAATATGACATTGATTAATTTACAAGCTGTTTAACTGACGTCTTTCCACGGTTGAAATGCTGATTGATATCAATATTAACAAAGGACAAAGATTACTGCGATTTTTTGGATGCGCGCAGCCGCGAAACAACGTTCCATTCATTCAAATGAAACAGGATGACTAATCGATTCTTGAGATTTAAGAATCGATATCGGTTCGTAAAAATGAGAATCGATTAATATCGAGAAATCGATATTTATTACCCAGCCCTACTAAACACAGATAAATCTATGCTAACTTGAAGCTATCCTAACTGTACTATGCTACTAACTGTACTATATAATAACTATAATGCTATGCTAAATAATAATGCTACAAAACTCTATCCTGATCGTTTTCAAAACTCGTAATTCCAACTCTAGACTTGCAGTGGTTTTGACAAAACAAGATGATTTTTAAACTGCCGAGGGCGTGGTAACTCGTACCAAGGGTGTGGTGAGCTGAAACCTGCATACGTCATAAAGAACTGCAAACATCCAATAGGAAAATTCAACTGCAGTAGCCACCTTCAACCTGAAGAGGGCAGCACTAAGACTTTGTTACATCATATATTGTAACACTTTATACCCAAATGTCAAAAAAGTTACTCAAATCAATGATCAGCATTAAAAAGCCCCATTCTTACTAAAAAAAGTTGGTTTAGGGTTAAGACTGGAAAAAGCTCTAATAAGGAACGCTCCACCTCAGCTGATGGACTAAGGAGAGATAAAGATGACAGACCTTCGTCTGCTCCTCGTTTGATTCCTCCAGCAGTGAGCATCGGCGGCTGTGTGTGGCTCCACGAGTGTGAACCCCCCACCACCACCCCCATGTGCTCGGCCTTGGAGTTAACTGTCAAACTGGCGCCACGCAGCTCCACAACATGTTCCGTGGTACATGAATAGTCATGAATATGGAGATGCGCTTGCTAAGCGTAGCATGTAAACATGCACGCATATAGGAAAATGTATGAAAACAGACACTCATACAGATTAATGAATAGTCCCCAAACCCACACTGTAAAAAATGATCTGATGAAAAAGTTATGATAACTTATATATGTCATTCAATCAGACATAAAATAATGTGTCATGAAATTTCAACTCAGTTGTTTGAGTTTTCAATCTTCCAATTTAGTTTCATAAGTTACTTCAATGAATCACAAATTCCAGGTGCCTGAATGAACTTATCATTTTAATTTGAGTGGGGTACAAGTCTTTGCGCATGTGTGGGGGTGGGGGAAGGGACTACCGACGAAGCCACGAGACGAACTTTACGCGCCGAGCAAACTTCAACAACCACCAGGTTCCTCATTTCTGTCAGACAAGACGACGAATCGGTTGGAGTGAACAAGTGCATTATTGGTAAGTGTTCGTGTTTTTTATTTATTAAGAATATGTGTTGATGAAGCCAATAACATTAGATACCTTTTAATATGTAAAAACTGCGATGTCATTTAAGCGAGGCACATTTCAGCGACGGTAGAACACGTTTGCTAGCAGTTCAGTATTTTCGTTTAGTCAGAGACGGTTGATAGTTTTATCTGAGACAATAAACGTTACCAGTTTTCATTGTAAACTTCGTAAAACGTTGTAGAAAATGCCATTTCTGATATAAGTTAACGTATGTCAAGGCCAAACACACAAACATTAGCTACCGTTCAAAAGTTTGGGGTCAGTTAGTTTTTAAAAGAAGCATCTGCTCACCAAGGCCGCATATATTTGATTAAAAATACCAACACAAACAGTGATATTGTGAAATATTATTCCAATTTACCGCTATTTTCAATTTAAATACATTTTAAAATTTGTTCCTGTGGTCAAACAAGCTTTAGATTTCAGAACCTAGATCTTTTAGATTTTTGGAACAACTTTGATAATAATAATAAAAGAATATTTCTTGAGCATCAAATCGTCATATTATACTGATTTCTGAAGGAGGTTAGTGCTGGGTGGTATACCGGTTCATACTGAAAGCCGGTGTATATTTTTATGATATTCATTTTTTAATAAACCGCCATACCGATGTATTTATTTACACAACTTTAGGAACCTACGTTGCCCTGCGCGACACTATTTCAGAAGGACCCTTTATCAATGTTGCATTTCTGAGCAGCGACGGTGAGGAGGGGGTAAATCAAAAATCTGTGCTCTGGTAACTGTCTACGCGGTGTTACGTTATAGGTAAGGGGGATGCTGCAGAACTATGGCGTTATTTTCCTGTTAAATGTCGAGAGAGCACTATTTTAGCGCGAAAGTAAATTAATATAATGCGCGAATCTGTCTGCTTGCACGTGGAATATCGCGCCCATGCTCTCAGATACACGCTGCTCTGGTTAGAATGTCAGTTTTCTCTGGGCTCGCTTAAAGAATCCTGCACTTAAAACGTGTTCAGTGCAATCGCGAATCTCTCCTCTTCCCCAGATAACAATTTTAGGGTTCGTAACGTTCTCATTAAGTTATTAAAACGTTTTTTCTGAATGTTCTAAGAATATTCAAAACGTCCATTTTTTAAAACATTGTATTAACTATATTTCTTGGTTATTATAACGTTCAATATAAACGTTGTATTAACGTTCTTGCTTGGTTATACGATTAGGTTGTACTGGGTGCTATTCTATTCTACAATATTAAATAATGACTGTAAAATAAGACAATTTATTGCAGTAATTCCCTTGAAAATCCTTTGAAAACCAGATTATGCATGGAAAAAAGTCATAAACTGGAAAACTGGCTTCATTTTGAGAGAAAAAAACAACGAAAAACGTGATCTTAATTTTGTCAAACCGCCATGTGACACTGAAGACTAATGATGCACAAAATTCAGCTCTGATCACAGGAATAAATTACTGTTTAAAATATATTGAAATAGAAAACAGCTGTTTTAAATTGGAATAATATTTCACAGTATTACTGTTTTGTTTGTATTTTTAATCAAATAAATGCAGCCTTTGGTGAGCAGAAGATAATTCTTTTAAAAACCTAAAAAAAAATTACTGACCCCAAACCTTTGAATGGTTGTGTATGTTCATGGCCAGTGCTGCAAAATAATTTTAGATTATTAGCAGCCGCTCGTTTGCTGCAAGCTCATTATTGTTTCTTATTACAGAACATTGTTTGTGCTAGCTAGTGGTAAAGAGCAATGCAACAATTCATACATCCAATTTGTTAGACTTGACTAGAAATGTGCTATTGTTCATTTTTGCAATTCACATCACTTAGCAGCTAAAACTTTTCTTCTGTTTTGTGTGTTTCAGGTGTTTTATGAATTCACAGGCTCAGCTACTCATTTGATGAAGTGGACTTGTAAGTTTTGCAATTTTGCCTCGTACATTCAAAAGACTATAGTGAATCATTACAAGGAAAAGCATGGACGTGGAAGAACAGGTTTTAGTTGTATTTACCCAAATTGTCTTACCGTCTTTCAATCCCATGTGGAACTTTTAAAACATTTGACGGAACACAAACAAGGAACCAGTCCTGTTGTTAAACTTCGTTGTGAACTTTGTACTTTTTCAGCGCCAAGCAATATCAAACATTATTCTGTGAAGCCTAATATTTTGTCTTAGTATGTGTCCTTTCTGCTTGTGTAATCTGCAGGTGGAAGTGCTGAAAAAAGACCTAGATCACCAGCAGATAGATAACCTGATGTCTGACACGTTCTCCAAGCGCAGAAAGGAGATCGTAGGGGATCAACCTCTCATTGGGGATGTCATGGCTAGATGGCCGGCCATGTTCTGTGAGAGACAGGTATAACAATAGAAAACACTCAGCCTAAGATTAATCACTTAATCCAATGACTGGATATCAATGTATGAGCTTCTCTCCAGGAAGTAAAAGGGCAATTTCAGCTTTTTTTTTTTTTTGTCCGAAAGGTGGCATGAATGAACATACAGATAAGTGAGAGGATTGTGTTTAGTATTACTGAGTGGATGACAGTCTTTGACAACAAGACAACCTTAGCTTACTAAATTTTGACTTTGAATTTTTTTCCCTGTAATTTCTTAACTTTTTTTGTCTCCTCAGGTTCGGGCAGAGTTCAAAAGAGTCGTAAGCACAGACCTTCTCGAATCGTTTCTCGACGGACTTGATGACCTGGCACCAAGACTGCTGGAAGTGTACGAAGCTGCGACAAAGTCGGCAAAGAAGCCTGCACTGAAAGCCATTTTGGACTGTCTGAAGAAAGACGTGAGTAGACCAGCTGAGAATTGTAAAATTGGGCACCAAATGTTTGCAATAAAATCTCACTGCTTAGTGTTTTTTATTGTAGGACACAAACGAAAGGAGAAGGACTGCTGCTCTGCTGGGTCTGCCACACTACCTAAGAGAAGAGCCATCAGACATCATCAGGATGTGTGATGTAAGACATTTTTCTGTCATCCATAACAGCCCATATACGAACCCACCCACCTACATATAAACTTACACACACACACACACACACACCCTTTAACACAGAGATTGGATTAGATGCACTCATAGGTGTTGGTAAAGTCCTGTGACAGCAAAATAGTGATGATGCAGGGAGAAAGGAGGGGTAGAATAGTGATGGGCAGAGGACCAAATGCAACATACACTTCCCCAGATCTGAGAGGACACTGAAGTTTTCACCCTGGCAGTAACCTTCCAACATTGCACCTATAAACATGCACACTCACAACTGAAAGCCCAAGAAGACTATTTTATTTGCCTGAAAACAAGGTTTATGATCACTGAGACTTGAGTAGCTTTGCAGAGCATGTACATCTTGACCCAAACATTCACAGTATTTTTTTTTCTGCTTTTCAAGGCCCATGGTGAGACTCTTGCTGAAGCCATGGAGGGGATGCAACTTGGCCTGTTGATAGGCTACGAAGGTGACAACCAGGATGCCTTTCCACATGAGATCTTCAATGTGGCTGTTGTGGTTGAGGAGACTGTTGTGCTTCACAACTTCAAGGATGTGCCATCGAGCTTTGCCATGCTTTTGGGGATTATCTACTGTGTGAACCTTGAGTATCCACAAGCCATGAAGTATTCTTTTGAATTCCTTCAGAGGGTAGTGATGAAGATCAAACCAGATCAAGCTTCTGCCAGAGTCCACGGCATTCGAAACAAGCTCCTGAGGTATAATTTGTAAACAATGCTACACCTGAGAATGGTTTGGAATTCTTTTCTTTTTTCTTCTTTTTCCATTTGTTTCTGTTGAAATGCAAGCCAAAGTTGAAGGCAAAAGCAAGCAAACAGGAGAGGAGCCCTGTTTTTTGTTGTTGTTTTTTTTGGACTTGATCCATTTGCTTTTGTTGGACTGAATACATTTAATGCTGAATATTGTTCAAATAATATACTAAGTATACTGTATTCAGGATTCAAATATTTGAAAACAACCAGCTGAAGTTGGCAGTCTGAAGTTTTAGTTTGTTTGTGTTTGGGGTTCAGGACCGCTTTTGGTATAATTCAGCTGGATCTGTGAGATTGTTAAAGGATTGGTTCACTTAAAAAAAAAAAAAACTTTTGGTGATAATTTACTCAACCCCATGTCATCCAAGGTGTCTTTCTTTCTTTAGCCGAAAATAAATGAAGACATAGACATCTTAGATGACATGGGGGTGAGTAAATTATCAGCAAAAGTTTTTTTTTTTTTAAAGTGAACTAGAAAAAAGGTTTATTTAAATGGATACTCCACTTTTTTTGGAAATAGGCTCATTTTACAACTCCCCCAGAGTTAAACAGTTGAGTTTTACCGTTTTTGAATCCATTCAGCCAATTTTCTGATTTTTAGAAGAATATCAGTAACCAGACAGTTTCTGGTCTAATTGACTTTCATAGTATATTTTTTTCCTACTATGGAAGTCAATGAGACCAGAAACTGTCTGGTTACTGATATTCTTCTAAATATCAGAAAATCATCTGAATGGATTCGAAAACGGTGAAACTCAACTGTTTAACTCTGGGGGAGTTGTAAAATGAGCCTATTTCCAAAAAAAGTGGAGTATCCCTTTAAATGTTAACATTCAAAACCTGTTCAGTATTTTCGTGTTGTGTAAGGAAAAAAAGCTAATGCTTTCAAAGTAATGTATTTTCTATTGGGTGACTATAAATAGTGTTTAGTACATCTTTGGGTGACCTAATGGGGATATGACAAGCAGAGGTTTGTGCTCGCACTTGTAGAAGATGATCTTCTATTTATCTTAGCCTCATGTTACCCACACCCAACTGAAATTTGGTACCTAAAAAGTTGTTGATTGCATATTGAAAATGTTTGAGATGAAGTGTTTGTATAGCTTTTATTGGCTTAACATTGGTTTTAATAAAAAAAATGTTTTGTACTCAAATTTGTGTGTTTTATATTAATTGTTAAGTTAAAACAAGGCATTCTTTTAGATTATCTTAACTTGATACCCTAATTCAAATAAATTACTTAATTAAAATTACTAAGTTCAACCCACTAATGGGGATAAGTGAACAGAATGCTCATTAATGAGTTCACTTTATTTTGAACTTGCATAGCAAAGTTGAAATAACAATAAATGTTAAGTCATGTTGACTCGCAGAAGGCAATTCACAGCTTAACAAGAATCAAAATAATGAGTTGAAACAATTTATTAATCCATTTTGTTTTTACTTGAAATTTTGAGGCAGCTGCTTAACTTATGATTTTAAGTAGAACCAAGTAGATATTTTTTACAGTGCACATAAACACACAATAATAAAAAAAAGGACTGCAGAATTAAGCATACACCCACAACGAATGTGAGTCAGAGTCGGCATCTCGATACACACACTCACATCAGATTTGGAAACATGCTTAATAGTTTTGGAAACGCAAAACTATTAAAACACCAATTCCTGTGGTGAGGCCTCAGACTGCAACCCCTTTCATAATGGAGTCATTTAGTCCGATTCTTCCTCGTGCTATCTGCCCCCGAGCGAACATTTTTACACACACAGACATGCAGAAGATTTATAATGTCTGAGAGAGAAACACCACGCCTCAGTGTGGCTCCGACGCAGGGGCCTGCACACTGCCACCGCATCAGAGATACACTCGTACTGTTGCATTTTACATCACATTAATACATGACAAACAAGTTCTTCCTTTGTGCTTTTCAAATAGACTCATAAGCATACAATCACAGATTCACAGCTCTTTATGTCATTGATTGAGTAATTGTTCTGCACCAGATATTTTGACTACTGTTCGAGGAAAAAAAGGATTTTAGCATTAAAAGAGTAGTTCATTTTAAAAAAAAATGTTGGGGATTTTTTCGAAAAGAAATTAAGGTCGAAAAGAAATTAAGGTTTTTGATGAAAACATTCCAGGATTTTCTCCATATAATGGACTTCAATGGGAACCAAACTGCAATCAAGGTCCAAACTGCAAGCGGTTCAAGGTCCAAATTTGGACCTTGAACTAGGGTTGTGCCGATAGACGATAGTATCGTGTATCGACGATAGTCTGACATATCGCCGATGGCAGATGCCTTTGACGATATCAATACGATAATTGGCTCGTTTTACCATAATGTATTAAATTATTATTATTAGGCCTATTATTATTATTATAAAGCTAGTATTGTTATTAAATGAATATTAGGAACTACAATTAATTTGCCTTGCCTAAATTTACAACGACATCACCTCATAACAATTGCAACAACACACGCACTAATGAGGACTCCTCTAAGAGAATGTTTTTAAAACAGACTAAAAAACATCCCACATCAAAATTCAATCGCAAGGTGATCCATTCACAAATTATCAAGTGTGCTCGTTTTAACAGACGCAAAATTAAATTTCCTACAGATCCAAGATGAAAACGGCATCGTTGTTCGTCAGTATTTGTTTCTGTAACACATTAACAAAACGTTTAATGACACTAACACTAAAAACAATACAATTACTAAATAGTATTAATAATAATATCACTAAAATAGTATTATAGTTACCGTTATTATCGTCGTCTCTGAGGGAACGCGGCGTTAATGCAGATGCCGAAAGCAGTCCGTTTTTACTTTCACTTTCAGAGATAGAGCGCGTTTACATGCGACGACGTTCTTAACCTGATTATGTTGAATAAACTTGACAATGTGGTCATGTAAACGTTTCCTTTATCAGAGTCAAGTCATAAGTATAAGTATAAACCGATCGACTCAGCTAGACGTTTGGCCCTTGCTCTTGTTTCTATCGGCATTTAAAACACATTAACCCGCGTACTTCGTGCTTACTGAAGTGCGCAGAGAACGCACAGGGGGGCACATATCGCAAACTCCGACTCTTTCTGACCCAAGAAATTATTAAAACGTGTTTTCATCTCGTGCAGAAATAGACCAAAATGCTGCATGTAATGGCATGAGAATAGGCTAATGTGTCCGTAAATTTCCCGTTGACAAACAAAAGGATTAGGATCTCTTTTTTTTACTTCACTATACCAGGAAATAACCTGATCCTATTAATAAACACTCCACCTTTGCTAGCAAAATAGAAAAAAGATTCTCGTATATAAAACGAAGTAGGCTAATAAAACAAGCAAATTAATGAGTAGGCTAAATAATCAAGTTAATAATCAAATAAGTTAGCCCCGCCCCCTCACGATAATATCGTGTATCGCCGATCTCACAGGCTGACGATAGGACGATATGAAAATGGAGCATATCGCCCAACACTACCTTGAACCGCTTGCAGTTTGGACCTTGAACCGCTTGCAGCTTCAAAGGGCTTTAAACGACACCAGACGATGAATAAGGGTCTTATCTAGGACCCATCGAGTCATGACTCGAAAAAAGATTTGTTCATTTTGATGAACGAGTTTGAACAGGAGAGTCACGAACGCTCATCACAGAACAGAGCAAGGCGAGCATTTGAGCTTATAAAACTTAAACTTTTTTATTTATTTTTTAAATGAGCGATCGTTTCACTAGATAAGACCCTTATTCATTGTCTGGAATCGTTTAAAGCCATTTGAAGCTGCACTGAAACTGTCATTTGGACCTTGAACCATTTGGTTCCCATTGAAGTCCATTATATGGAGAAAAATCCTGGAATGTTTTCATCAAAAAAATGGATCTTGGATGACATGTGGGTGAGTAAATTATCAGCAAAAGTTTTTGTTTTCGAAATAAAAGCAAAGGTTGTTCGAAAATTTTGAACTGAGTTCGTAAATTTGACAAAAAACTTCAAATATGTCTTTCTTTTTTTAATTGATTCATTGTTTTTATGTGTTAGTGTTATCAACACATACAAGTGACCCAAATTTGAGAGAAAAAATATTATAAAATACATTGAAATGCCCATCCCAACTTAAAATGTGTGCATGATACGCCATATTTGTGTTTCATTCGATCACTCGAAGTTCTGATAGCCCACCAACCAGTGCTCTGTGGAGGGTCTTGGGCCAAAGCTGGCTGCTGTTGGACTCTTTTTGGCCAATCAGTTTACTACTCTCTCGCTGCTCTCCCTCTCGAAGTAGAATGACAAACAAAAGCCTCTTGGCATGGGCTCAGCAGACGGACCCAATTTCTGCTTTGCATAAAAAAAGTCAAAAAACCACACACGAGCACTACGAATGAACAGAGGAAAGAAGGAGGAGAGGAGGAAGCAGCGCCAAGCATCAGATCTCCTTAAAGCCTTACAGCTGAAGCCTCCATCTCAGAGGAGATCACATTTCAACAAGATTGAGTTTAAGTGGTGGAGACAGAAGCTGCATGAAAGGGAGGGAGGGAGAGAGTTTCTTGCTCTAGTAATAGTAGTGCAGGAAAAATGGCACAATATAGTTTACAAAAGCTTCTAGACTAAACTCTAGTGTTGAGCACTGCTCAAATGAACCATTTGCATCAAAGAAAAAAGCTAATCGCCATAAGCTTAATAAAGTTTCCTTCAATGAAGCATGGTTAATGATCCTCAAGATTCCCATTTGCCTTCTGAGGGACCGTGCATCATATTGTATCTTGTCATATGGTCAATAAAGTACTTATTTGGGCTATTTTGGGCTGATGGAATACCTGACGAAAGGTTGTTGCACAGGGAACGCTGCTGTCGGAGCTTCTGAGGAGCTCTGGCTGGGACAGGGTTAAGGTCTCCTCCCTGGGGCTGTGCTTGCTACCGCTAAAATTAAACCTCCCCCACAGCTGGTTCCCATTAGCCTGCAGTGACACTAGGAGCCTGTACTTAATCTGTG